TTGATGGGTTTGACACTTCTGGACACACAGATCAAAACTTTCAAAGGTTTAATGGGTTTAGAGTTTCAATTGCAGTTATACCCAAAACTGGCCATTTGCCATCCTCTTAAAGGTGCAAAAGGACCAGGATGTAGGTACTTAAATCTCAACTTTGAAAATAAGTTAAACTGTGTAGATCAAAAACATTGCTTGTCATCTTGTGTGCAATATTTTACATTATTTTAGAAAAGAAAAATAAAAACAGGGCATTAACTAGTCACACCAATGCTGTATCAGTATCCACTCTTTGGTTTTCAGTATTTGTTAAGACACAAGTTATGTTAATTTCTACTTTAATGAGGCCAATTGCCTCATTTCTCTGTGAGATACTAAGGGTGAGTCTCTACTGATTGAAGACGAGCAGAATTTTAAAATAAGGCCCATCTAATTTGTCTTAACTGATCATCAGAGAGAAGCTTTACGTCAGGAGTATTCAATCACTGGCTTGACCATTCCTGGGAGGATAAAGCTGTCGGACTATATCCTACTCTTTGGTCTTACTTGGATGCCATACCACCTCCTTCCTTACATCATGAGAGTCAGCTATGTGAACAATGAGAGACCAAATGTGAACTCCACTAATGATAGTGCACCGCCGGTCAGAATTTAAGATATTTATTTAAAAAAAAAGATATTTATTTAACTTAGAGTCTAAAAAAGCAGAGGGAGAAATATATCTAGGATATAATATATATTATATGTATTCCATATAGAAAGAATATAAAAATATATAGAAACACAGCAAATAAGAAGAAAAGATTAGCACTTAAACTTTTATCCAGATGTTTTACATTTTTATTTGAAACTTGAAATAAAGTTTAAAAACTTTAAATTTTATTTAAAATTCTATTTTGATTGACCTAAAATTTTTTTAAAGTCTTATTTGGCAACTCACTGATTTTTTTAATAAACTTATAACATTATGTATTAATATTATAATAAACTATTTAATAAACTATTATCAAAGGAGATTAGAGGGAAGACTGTTGGCCTTGGGTTCTGGCTTTGCTAGATGAGGCATATGAGGCTTCAGCATACCTTAAGAGTTTATGTCTCAAAACAGTTCTAATACACAGAGAAGAATAAATAATTTGGCTTAATACAAGGAAACCCCAACCTCCCTGAATGGAATTTGGGCACCAAAATAACTACGCATTTCAACTTAACTTTTGGGGGGGGAATGCCTACTCCTTACCCATCACAGGGCAAGTTGATGTAGTGCAAAAGGAAAGGGTTACTGGCTAATGCAAGACAGGACCTTCACAGCAAAGCCACAAGCATGGTGCTATGAAAGAAAATGGGAAAAGTACTGTTGCATTCTCCATAGAGGGTTTGCTCTCCAGGGCTTTGCAATGGTTACAGCTATTTTAATAACCAAAGAGTTCTTTGCTGAGGGAGATGGAACAAAATTCTCCTTACTCATTAAATAAAACTATGTTCACTATGCTCGTATCTCAAATTCTGAATGAAGTGTAGAGATGTTCGATTAATATTTGGACAGCTATAATTTGCTGTTTATTCTCATCTTTATGATTCATGATTCACTACAACTTTTCCCTAAAATGGATTAAAAATACATTTTTAAGATGCACATCTAAGAAATAAGTTGGAAAGATCTGTTTATTCTTGTTTTTCCAGGTTTTGCTAGAATTTACCTCTTATCATTAACCCATAATTTTAGCTTGCTTCTGTACCAAGAGAAAAATTAATACCCATGAAGAACAATTGGGGATAATCAAGCTGAGGGGGGGAAAAAAAGGAAGTGGTTGAGCTTTGGCGCACTCCTGCCCTTGCCAAAAATCAATGCCTGAGACCTGACTTGGCAGGTCCACGTGGCTCTCAAAGCCCTGATGGCCATCTCTGGCACCTAAATTAATACAACTTCCATTTTTGAAATGGTTTTGTGCTCCAGTAACATCTGGTTTGTTGATTTGCAGCAATAAGGCTTACAGTCAAGCAGGGTCTGGTAAATACCATATTTGTATCATCTCTCATTTCTCCAAGTTCTTAATAGGCTCTGTGCATACTTCATAGATTCAGCTTTCCTGCTACAAAGTAGGCTCAAATATCTGCCACTGGTCATACCAGAAACTCTTCCTGAGATTCCTGTTACAAAATCATCTTCATAAGTTACAAGCTGCATTTAAAGATGCATATCTAAGGGTCTCTGTGAACATGATAAAGCCCAGTGACCAAGCAGCCTAACAGGCATCAAGCAGCAGCACAAACAGCCTTTGGATACACATTTAGTACCTGCTCCGTCAGCAAGCTAACGGCTAGGATGTCCTGAGAGAGATTTGTCTCTGATCCGCCCCTCTGCTAGTGAGGAGCTGACTCTAGGAGCACCAGCAAACACACAATCAACATTTGCATTCAGGTCTCAGTGTCACCTGGATTCTGACCTGCACAATTAGGATATAGCCTGATCGATTTTGTTCCAAACATTCATTAACGCTTACACTTCTAAGCTTAAATTTTGAAACGGATATGTTTACAGATTATGGCTCTGATTAAGTTATCTGTGAA